TAGATAATAATGGTGCAACTATTATATTTCATCATTATCAAATTTCTTAGTCTATGTATTCATGACTGCCAACAAAAAATTTATCTATATTTAGTCTTACCTCTCCAAAAACAACTACACTTGTAAATGCTTATAATAAAATCTTTATTATATTATTATTTAAATAGAAACATTGTGTAATTTGTAATGAAAAATATTGTTCAACAAAATGTAGAAATACTCTCGAGAAACATTTAATAGAAATAACGCTATCGGGGAGCTACTGAAATTAAACATTCGATGCCTGGTTCGATGCTGCTAAATAGAAATTCTCGACATTCCGTAATCCTCTTCAACTATTAATTTGATTGTGTCGTAGAGGGAGTGTGAAACTTATTGAAATTGAAATTACATTTGACTTATTAATAAAGTGACAGTTGCCACGTTAATAACCTTATTTTGATAATTGAGTTATCAATTACAATAGTTTTTCGAAATTATTATTATATCTCTTAAAAATTCTTTATGAGTAGAAAATCTGATCATTAAAATAAGATATTTGTATTTTTTTGAAAGCAGTGAAAAGTAAAGATAAAAGTGTCAAAACTACATATTTATTTATTCACTTATGTTTGTTTATTTATATTTATAATGCGAATAACTACACACGATGAAACACGTGTCAGGAAGACAATGATTCATAGAAGATAATAAAATAGCTATACCACTGACATTGAAAATTGTTGATTACTTCCCTATTTGTTATCTTCGGCAATATACAATACCTAATTGTCGCAGTACTTATGTCAATTAGAATTTAAATGGCCATTTATCTGTCATTTTCGTTCAAGGAACAAAATATTAATTTTCTGTTGCACAACACTTCTCGTTAAACTAATTTATTGCTACATAATTTATACAACATTATAACAATAAATCAAATTTTATTTGCATACATAATATATGTAAAATAAAGTAACCCTAGTACCTAATACAACCTACGCGTAGATAATTACACGGTAAATTCAACATATGGCACTAATAATTCGTACAAGCTATCTGTCTGACTCGATTGCTTCAATTTTTTGCGTCATTGTATTGTCAGTAAAGCAAAACGTTGTAGTCATAATATAATATTTTGTAGATAAATAATTGCTTTCTATATAACTACGAAGAAATTGTTATTAATTTTCATAGTTTATATTATTGTAACTATATATTTGTATTTTACAATACTGTATTTAATTTATATTTTTGTCACAATGTTTTGCTTATAATTAAAAAGAGGAAACTCTTTGTAAGTCTTAGCAAAAATAAATATCGGAGCATAAGTCGAACGTAAGGAGAGAGTAATAGAAGCTTCTTGGAAGCAAGAATTGAGACAGAACGTAAGAGAAACGCCTCTTTTACACTTTATTGTTCTAATTTTCGCTTTTTAGAAATTTCGTTTTCGCTTCTGTTTCTCTCCTCTTACATTCGACTTACATTTTAATTATTATTTTCGCCAGGGAGGTAACATTAATATTACCAATCATAGACATACTAAGTGTACACATGTTAATTGTAACGTTTTTTTTCCTACTGTTATTATTTCAGACCATTCCACTTCACCTGCTAAACATTGTGGACATAAGTAGATAAATTGATTGTTTATAAAACAGTTTTTGTGTATTCTTATTAATAAATATATCAATAAACTATAACTTAATCTCATACAAAAGTGACATTGGATCATTTTATTTTTCATTTTTCTAATATGTTTTTACGAAAAACATGTACTCTTAGGCTATATTAGGTATATACGTAAATGCTATTTTCTTAAAATCTCAATCTTTTTGTCACTGTACTCATATAAATATTTGAAAATATCATATTTTTTAACATTTAGAGATATTTTCTTCTTTGAACCTGATTATTAATTTTTAATTTTGAACTTATAATCAGTAAAAAATTAGAAAATATTATAGAACTTAAGTAGGTAGAGTATGCAAAGTCCAGTTATTCTAATAAAATTAATTGCATTATTCGTAAATAGCGCAATTAGCACGTAAATTATATGCAAATCAATATAATACGAGCCTAGCATACAAGTAATGTAAATTTTATGCTGGAAACTTAATTTTCGACGTACTCTGCTTTAATTACGTAAATATATTCTTAGGCTAGTTGAATTACTTTGAGCTTTCACACGCGGTGCGAATTTAGGATTGTTCATCTCTTTCAAGTTTGAACTCTTTCCAATCGCTGTAAGTAGAACTTGCACTCCAGTACATACATTTACGATTTTTCTTTACTATAATCTGGAATTTTATTTTTGACATATGCTAAAGCAGAATGTGCAGATTAGCATTAATTTACATTAAGAAGAATATATTTAAATCTATCACATACGATACATATGTGAGATATGTTAATAAAAAGATAAATAAAAAGATACATCATTTATAAAAAAAAATCACACATTATTTATGTTTAAACAATAATTTACCATTGTATATAGAAAAGAAAGTTCATAAAAATTTTGTCGTTAAATGAGCTTGTATTAAATCATAAATGAAGAAATGAGTAAAATTATTTTATAATTAGGAAGGCGCAATTTGCCTACAAAATAAATGCCTACAGTTCTATTTGTGCATGATCGTATTGGCCACAATGCATTGCACATGTAACTATATGCCATTTTGTGCACTGAACCGTGTATTGCACGCGCGTACACGTGTCACATTGCGCATATGGTTATATATGATACATACGAGGAACACATTTTGGATATAATACATATTGGATATGTAAAATAAAAAAGTTATACTCTCAATATATGCATGCCATTTATGATTGCGTATTAATAAAATAATTATTTTTACATGTATTACATAAGCGGTTCTATACCTATATCCCTAATGACATAAATATATAATAAACGCAATGATATCTAATTTAAAAGATAGTTCTAATCTTTTGTTCAGTTTTTGTAACATTTTTTTTAGCATGTTATAATGCAACAATTTTTGTATTAGATAAAACAGCAGACTATGCTCGGTTATCATCGGAGTTCTACATAATATGCAATACTGCACATATGACAGCAATGTGCATAGGCGCAACACGTTCGTACACACGACACGATTATATGCACTAAGTCATACGTGTATAAGAGGTTTGGGATGTTTTCCAGCAAGAGATACAGATGCCCAGTGTAACACAATAAATCATTACATTTATATTGTTTGTTAATGTTAAACGAAGATGATCACTGTGACATGTCACATTGTGTTACTTGCTGGAAAGCACTATTAGTATGCAACGTGACGCGTGTGCATATGGTCGTATCCAATATGCTGTACTCAATACAGTCGTGTATACAATGTGTTGTGTGCATTATAGTTGTATGTGCAATGTGCTGTGTGTAATATATTTATGTATGTGATGCGCTGTGTGCAATATAGTTATGTGCAAACGAAGCTGCAGGTAATTATTTTATAGACAAACAGGAGCCTCTTTTTATAATTCCAAAATGATAAATGTCAATATCTCGTTGACATAATATATTTGAAAAATATAACTCATTTATTTTTTGTCATTTAGATTATATATCTATTAAACGCAAATATATTAGGTTGACGATAAATAAGTGTTTAATTGTTTTATAAAGAAATTTATTTATTCTTATAATCATTAAAAAATAACAAGTAAATTGAAATTAAAAGACAGACGTATTGCAGTTAAAAGTTATACTTGTATAAAATTAAGGAGATATTTATATAATTATGTCAAATTAATAATATATATCGTAAAAAAATAATATTTTATTTTTTTTATTTCAAGAAACAAATATTACAACTATTGTTTAATTAACAAACGTTGAAATTACATGTTGCTTATTTTACTCTATTATTTCGATGTACTAGATCAAACTTACTAACAGTAAGTATATTAAGGACTTTATGTAAATCTTGTATTATATATTATGCATTAATTGTTAGATAATATAATAACTATACAGCGTCGATATTTTACAGTGAGTTGCGAGCTTATTACGTAGACGAGTACTTTGCTAATCTTCTAGATGCAGCAGAACTTGCAGCTCCAGCGGAAGCAGCACCACTATCAATACTATCACCAATGCCTCTATAATTGCCTATAGGACGTGGCGCTATTAAACGGCCACTAGCAATACTATCATCAATGGCTCTATTATTACCGCCTATAGGACGTGGCGATATTATTAAACGGCCAGGAACAATCGGTGCTGGACGCGCAACATTCGGCCATATATCTCCATGCACTAAACGATGTAATGTAGGATATTCAGGTGGAATATTTATACGTTGAGCCAAACGGGTACGGAAGTTATCAATATGCTCTCTGAAGCCATTGAAAACATTAGCTGCTGATGTTGCAAAACTATGAGATAACTCGCGAAAGGGTATACCTGCAATCTCTGAGATACCGTCTTCGTGAAACAGTCCTGATATAATTCCTCCATGTATTATCTGTAAAAATTGTGCAAAATATTGTTAACAAATACAGCACTACATCAGAAAATTTATAAGAAATATATATGATAGATGAGTCATTAAATAACTTTAAGTTTGCTCTCAAAAATCAAGGTGGAATATATTAAGATTACTTATTGGTTCACTTATATACAAAGTATTCATAAAAAAGCATTTAACGTTTGTAGAGATAGTACACATTATACTGACAATAAGTAAAAAAAAACCACTAAGGCTTTTTTATTCTGTATGATGTGTACTACCATATAAATCCTGAATGTTTTTTTGTAAAGTCTGTATATGTATATTTTTTAGCATAAATTTTCTGCATATGATATCATGAACTATAATCTTTTCTATTTAATATAGTTTTACAAATAACAAATGTTTGCTGTTGTTATATTTTACATGATTTAAATTAAATTTTAATGTATTACTGAAACATATATGTAACTTTAATTTATAATATTAATTTAATTTACAATTAATTTGTGTATTTCAAAATATTTTTTTAGACGTGGTATATTTACGTACATTTGCAGAAATGAGTATCAAAAACATCGCAGAAATGATGTGACTTCGAGCCATGACTCGTAATAACGTGTAAGTGCAAATGACTTTAGAACTGAATTGTTAATTGCGCACAACTAATTTTTTTTGTTTCAGGATACCTTTTTATATGCGGAAATGATGTATTTTTTTGCCCAAAATCCACGTCCTGACGAAACTTCAAACATTGATATGTCTTGTTCTGGCAATTATTGGTTTTGAATACGTCTCACGATTACGATTGCAGTACGAATGTGCATGCGATAATATTATATATGCAAGATTGTCTTAATCGGTCTCACGTACGATGATCTCATATTTCGGCGTGTCCTTGCAATACGTATGAACGAAATGCAATCGAATTTAGTTTAAGTAATTTGATATATGTAAATTAAAACATGCACGAATAAAAAGGAGAGAGAGAGAGAGAGAGAGAGAGAGAGAGAGAGACATTCAAAAATATAATAATAATATATATACA